TGGGGCCTGAACTCTGGGCCTGGACGCTGTCCCTCAGCTCTTCAGCTCAAGGCTAGCGCTCTACCACTTGAGCCACAGCGCCACTTCCGGCTTTTTTTCTTTTTGCTTATGTGGTGCTGAGGAATTGGACCCAGGGCCTCATGCATGCAAGGCAAACGCTCTACCACTGAGCCACCTTCCCAGCCCATGGCATTGTTTTTGAGATGAAGTCTTGAGGACTTTTCTGCCCAGGCTGGCTTTCAAACCACCAACTTCCAGATCTCATCCTGAGTAGCTAGGATTACAGGCATGAGCCATCTGAATCCTAATTTACTACTTCTGCATGCCATGAAAGGTATGATGCTACAGAATACAAATTTCTTCACAGAGCTCAAGGTCCATTGGGAAAGAATTTTCCATCTGTATCTGCAACGGGAATGTGAGCTCTAATGAAGATAGGAGCCTTGCTTTCCTTGGTCACTTAAAACTCTTAGAATATTGCATCTACCAGGGAGAAAATGTTGCTAAATAAATAGATGGGGCAGGAGCAAAGAAATGTGGATGAGGCACAGGCAAATGAGGGGTGGTGGTGCTTAACACATCCAACTGTTTTGTTTTGTTTTTGTATGTTAGGAGGCCACCTGGTGGTCAGGAAAGGAAAGGCATTCTGGGAAAGGAAGTAAGACTAGAAAGCAAAGGAAAAAATACAGCCTCATCTGTTCATAGAGGCTTTCAGTCCATAAGCTTTTTAGAATTGTTGTTGTCTCTCTGGTTGCATTTATTGTCCTGGATTCTTAGAGGATGAGGGCCCCAGTGTCTAGAGTCCTTGGTTTCTTTTCTTTTCTTTTCTTTTCTTTTTTGGGTCTGCTCGTGAGGCCTGAACTCTGGGCCTGGGCACTGTCCCTCAGCTCTTCAGCTCAAGGCTAGCTTGAACTCTGGGCCTGGGCACTGTCCCTCAGCTCTTCAGCTCAAGGCTAGTGCTCTACCACTTGAGCTGCAGCTCCACTTCCGGCTTTTTTTCTTTTTGCTTATGTGGTGCTGAGGAATGGAACCCAGGGCCTCATGCATGCAAGGCAAGCACTCTACCACTGAGCCACCTTCCCAGCTCCCGAGTCCTTGGTTTCTTGTTCTAGGCTCACTCTATGCACAGTCAAGTTCTATGAAGTTGCTCCTCATCCTGGCCTTGCTTCTAACTAATCCTGTCCTTAGTACTGTTGTAAGGTAAAATCATCCCAGAAGCCACATTTTAAACTATACAGTATTGGAGTCTTTATTATAAAGTTAACAGGCTGCAGGCTGCCAGTTGTTACAAAGCCCTGCAGCATGCAAATACACATCACACAGCTAGGAAACATGCTAAAGAGGAAAGAAATAACAAGAACAATACTAACAAGCCATCTCAGCTCCGGTGGAGAGCTGAATTGGGACTCCATAATGACTGGAGACGAGGAGACAGGACACAATCATGGAGACACACGTGGCATAGAGTCCTGGCAGCTAGGCTGGTCCGGGCCTAAATAGGTTGGTGCAGGGGGCAGATCCTCAGGAAATTCCTAGATCCAGGCATTAGATTCAGTAACCTATCAGCCAAGTGCCTGCCCCTGCCTCCAGGGGTCTGGGCATGCCCATTACTTGGGAGACAGGTGATGGTGTGGGGGGGTTCCCTTCCCCAAGCATAAAGACAAGATGCCAGGCCCTACCATCCACCATGTGGCCAATATGGCGCCAGCCAGACCTGGCCTCCTTACTTCAGTATGATGTATGATTCACACATTATCAATTGGATCCTCTAGTCCTGGTTTCTATTCCCAATAATGGAATGTTTCTCTGCTTTCCCCTCCTCTCCTCTCTTCCCCTAACATCCTTTCTCTTTCCCTCCATCCCCTCCTTTCCTCTCTGCCAGTTCTGGGACTTGAACTCAGGGCCTGGGTGCTCTTAGTTTTTTTCACTGAAAGTTGCACTCCACCATTTGAGTCACATCTCTACCTCCTGCTTTTGCTGGTTAATTGGAGATGAGTCTCACGAACTTTCCTACCTGGGCTGGCTTCAAACTATGATGCTCCTATCTCAGCCTGAGCATCAGCCATTAGCACCAGGCAACCACTTGTCATTTCTGGCTCCCTGTTGCCTACAAATGGGAAGGATATTTCTAATCTCCTCACTGTTGTTAGGAGGATTTAGTAGCAAAGTGCTAACTAAGCAGCCTCTGTGGCTTATAGTAAACTCCAGGTGGCTATTTGATCTTGCTGGCTCCCACCTGCTCTCCTTCCCCCATGCTTGATACCTCTGCCTCCTGGAGTCACCAGTCCAGTCTGCAGGGGATCCAATAGCAGATTAGTTTTGAATGTCTCTTAATCCTGGAGTTTCTTCCGTAAGCGGAGCTGGGATAGACTGATAAGGACCAGCTACTATAAATGAGCATACGTAGTCTAGTGGGTAGACATTGCAGGATGGAGCTGCATACTCCCAAGCTGCTGTTACTGCTGTGGGTGATGGGCTACAGGTGTGCACACAGTAATAGTCTGAGTAGATACACATCTGTCATTGAAGTAACCAATGGTGATCCCTGGGGCAGCTGGGCATGGCCGGAGATGTGTCCAGATGGATATTTTGCCAGTGGGTTCTCAATCAAGGTAAGAGCTCAGGCCTGGAAGATGCAGAGTGAACAGGGGGATGATGTTTGGGGTGGCTGTCCTGAGGAGGGTAACCTCCAATTCCTCCTCTCCCCACCACCCAGGTGGAGCCCCCTCAAGGCACTCTTGGCGATGACACAGCTCTGAACGGGATCAGGCTGCACTGCACTAGGGGGAACCTAGCACTCGATACACATGTTGTGGAGTCTCAATCTGGGAGGTAGGGGGCGGGGACCCAGGGTCTCTTAGGGTGAGGGGATGGCCGGCTTGGAAATCCCAAGGTCTGGCTGGGCTGGTGTGGGTGGTAGGCACCCACAGCGCCAGCGCATATGCCTTTCTCTTACAGATGGGGTGCGTGGAGCGAGCCGCTGTGGTGTCCCGGTGGGGGTTTCTTAGTGGCTTTCTCACTTCGTGTGGAGGAGCCCCAGGCCCTCGAGGACAACACCGCGGTGAACAATGTGCGCTTCCGCTGCTCTGATGGCACCGAGCTGGAGGGGCCTGGGCTGAGCTGGGGAGATTTTGGAGACTGGAGTGACCCCTGCCCCAAAGGCGCGTGTGGCCTGCAGACAAAAATCGAGCAGCCTAGAGGCCTCCGCGATGACACTGCGCTCAACGACGCGCGGATATTATGTTGCCACAGTTGACTCTGTTGCTGGCTTCTGCCACCCAATGTGAGCCCCACTCGGCTATTAAAGCTTCTAGGTCTTGGCTTTGATGTCGCTTGATTTGGGAATGGGAAAAGGCCTACTTATTTCCCACCTAACCCTGCCTGCCTGCCTGCCTTTCCTTCCTTCCTTCCTTTGCGCCAGTACTGGGGCTTGAACTCAAGACCTTATGCTCTCAGTTGGGGCTTCTTTTTGCTCAAGGTTAGAGGTCTACTATTTGAGCCACACCTCTACTTCTGGCTTTTTGCTAGTTAATATGAGAAAGATACTCTTGGGCTTTTCTACCCAGGCTGGCTTTGAACCTCCATCTAGGGATCTCAGTTTCCTGAGTAACTAGGATTACAGCCATGAGTCACCAGTGCCTGGCTACACTTGGGTTTAATCTTAGGAATCTACATTACAAGTCTCACAGGCCTGAAGAATGTTCTTCCAGTAAATAAAGGGAGCCCCTGCCTGAGGACATCTGAGACATATGGTCCTCATGAAAAGCCTGGTTTGTCTTCTTTCTGAACCACTAGTAACTTCTATTTAAGCAATTTCTAGCCTGGCCTGAGTGTGCTTGGTGTCTTACACCTACAATCCTCGCTACTCAGGAGTCTGAGCTGTGAGGATGGAAACTTAAAGTTATCCTACATAGATAAACCTATATCCACTTAATCAACAAAAGCTGGAAGTGGAAGTGTGGTTCAAGAGTAGAGCACCAGATTTGAGTAAAAAAGCTAAGAGTACAGGCCCTGAGTTCAAGCTCCAGTATTGGCACAAAAAGAACGAGAAGGAAGGAAGAAAGGAAGGAAGGAAGGAGGGAAGGAAGAAAGAAAGAAAGGAAGATAGGGCCTGGGAAGGTGGCTCAGTGGTAGAGCGCTTGCCTTGCATGCATGAGGCCCTGGGTTCGATTCCTCAGCA